TGACAACATCATAACCCACTAACCTTGACTTGAATGACACCCCTGCTGCCACATGCTGACAACATCATAACCCACTAACCTTGACTTGCATGACACCCCTGCTGCAACATGCTGACAACATCATAACCCACTAACCTTGACTTGCGTGACACCCCTGCTGCCACATGCTGACAACATCATAATCCACTAACATTGACTTGCGTGACACCCCTGCTGCCACATGCGTGACACACAACTTGGAAACCACTGTGGTACATACTGCAGGACTACATGTCACACACACATGGTTTAAATACATTAACGCTTAACGACAACCAAAAGAGAAGAGTTTAAAATTATCAGTTAACTGCACCAGTTAACCAACATAACACAGTTCAACATCTCCGTGAATCGTATCTGTATGTTGTCAGTCATATTGAGATTGACTTTACGATCACCCTTTAATGTTTCTCAAAGTCTTGGTTTTAGAGACAAAAACAACCACAAAATACTTGAAAATGTAAAGTAAAAAGATAGTACACTGTAATTGTTGAATAAATTAAAGCATTAGTGATTCAATAAACCTAAAACTTGATACAAATCACAAACTACAGGCGTTTTTTTTCAAACCATAATTATTTAACATTATCATCAAGTTCAATAAACTGACTGCAGAATTAAATATAAAGTATTTATGGTCTAAATATTATTACAATCCATCAGTTCCATACACTCGGAGTCATTCCAGCCAAGTCCTAAAACTTGTAAAGCTTTATGCTGATGAAAGGACTAATGATTGGAATGCAATATCATTATAATAAGAACTTCAATACACTAAAATACTCAGAAAATAAACCAAACACACTGAAACTCGTATACCCCCCCCCCCAATATTTCTATGATAGAATACAGTAAACCCAAAATAAATCATATTATCAAAATTCCACCCATATTACAAAGCTACAGACAAGTTCAGATATATAGATACAATAAACACAGCATATTATTACTACATGAAATGTGAAATACATCTATAATTACTAATGGCACAGCACAGGGTTATACCGAGTTATTTACACATGCAAGTCAAGTGGCACTTTTTTTCCAAAACAGGATTTTTCAAATGTACCTACAGAAGCATACAACCTTTAACTAAAGACTTTTTCCCCCTTTTGCTTTGTTTGGGCTGGTGTAAGGAGATGTTGCCATTGTTTGTTGGTTGAGAGGTCTTGTTTAAATGTGTGAGCTTTGTCGGCGTTTCACCTGTTTAGAGAAACAAAGAAGTCAAATGCTCATTGAACAACATTACTGAATATACTTCAACACCTCTGTAATTTTACAACCAAATTAAAAAAAAAACAAGGACAGGCTGCCAACAGTAGCTGATTGTTATAAAACAAGGACAGATGTTGATAGTACCTGATTGTTATAAAACAAGGACAGGCTGCCAACAGTTACCTGATTGTTATAAAACAAGGACAGGCTGCCAACAGTTACCTGATTGTTATAAAACAAGGACAGGCTGCCAACAGTTACCTGATTGTTATAAAACAAGGACAGGCTGCCAACAGAACCTGATTGTTATAAAACAAGGACAGGCTGCCAACAGTAGCTGATTATGGTAACCACACTATTCAATTAGCCACTTATAAACACCCAACAAGCAGTGATAAACAACACCTGACAAATACCACTGAAGAATGTCCAACAACTATTGTAAACGAGTGTCCGACAAGTAATGTACACAAGTGTCCGACAAGTAATGTACACAAGTGTCCGACAACTATTGTACACAAGTGTCCGACAACTATTGTACACAAGTGTCCAACAAGTAATGTACAAAAGTACCTAACCAGTATAGAAACAAGTACCTGACCAGTAATACAGACAAGTACCTGACCAGTATAGAAACAAGTACCTGACCAGTAATACAGACAAGTACCTGACCAGTAATACAGAAAAGTACCTGACCAGTAATACAGAAAAGTACCTGACCAGTAATACAGACAAGTACCTGACCAGTAATACACACAAGTACCTGACCAGTAATACACACAAGTACCTGACCAGTAATACACACAAGTACCTGACCAGTAATACACACAAGTACCTGGCCAGTAATACACACAACTACCTGGCCAGTAATACACACAAGTACCTGGCCAGTAATACACACAAGTACCTGACCAGAAATACACACAAGTACCTGACCAGAAATACAAACAAGTACCTGACCAGAAATACAAACAAGTACCTGACCAGAAATACAAACAAGTACCTGACCAGAAATACAAACAAGTACCTAACCAGTAATACACACAAGTACCTAACCAGTAATACACACAAGTACCTAACCAGTGATACAAACAAGTACCTAACCAGTGATACAAACAAGTACCTAACCAGTAATACACACAAGTACCTAACCATTAATACAGACAACTGCCATAAAACTAAAAGATACAACACCCAAAAATGTAACCATCAAGTAATTGAAAGTATTTATTTAGGAACATTTGTTTTTTTTTAATACATAGAGTTTTGATGTGAAATTGAACAAATCAACTTACTGTTTTTCTGACAACTTGCAGCTGGTTCCACTTTGTTAACTGTGACTTCTGGCTCATTCAACTGATCTATGTACTTCCTGGCTAGGTACTGAAACACTGAAAATAATAACATTTAGGTAGAGAACAGATCTCAACACATGCCTTAAACAATAACCATTAATAACGGAAAATGAACATTGTACTAGACAAGACTGAAATCTGGCTTTTCACATGAAACTGAGGGAAGGAGATACGTGTATGGTCATATACAGTGCAGAGGAGTTTATTTTTTTTTACACTCACCTATTAAGAAAAATATGAAACTCGTTAAAAATTGTGATTAATTTAAAGAAGAATCAATTATTCTTCCAATTAAACATCACTCAGGTTTAATTTAACAGTGGCTTGCACCTTAGTAGAAATAAGTAAATTAAATTAACAGTTTTTGCTTGATAATAAACAAAAACATCTAATACCTAATAGTAATTATTAATAAATGGAAATCAAAATAATTATCTCACTGTGACCTATCTGAAAATAAGGGCTAAAATCATTTCACAATTTATGAAACAGCAAAATTTCAAAGAAAACCTTGGTTTATCCAGAAAACAACAATGAACAACTCAAGTAGAAAAAACTAAACAAAAAAATGTGTTTCAACAAGCTTTAACCATGACCCTAATATCCGAGGTCTGTTTCTACATGGCCCTAATGTCCGAGGTCTGTTTCTACATGGCCCTAATGTCCGAGGTCTGTTTCTACATGGCCCTAATGTCCAAGATCTGTTTCTACCTGGCTCTAAGGTCCAAGATCTGTTTCTACCTGGCTCTGATGTCAGATATCTGTTTCTACTTGGCTCTGATGTCAGATATCTGTTTCTAATTGGCTCTGATGTCAGATATCTGTTTCTAATTGGCTCTGATGTCAGAGATCTGTTTCTAAAGATTTGTTTCTACTTACGAGACTATTCACTTGACTACAGAATTTTACCGACCAACAACGGCCTTTTAAGTCTGGAAAGGAAAGACATCATAAGATTGAAAAATGTTAAAGCTTGTCGTGCAGACAAGATTCCTGTAGAATTTTTAAAAGAAGTGGACAAATTAAGAGACTGAAAATCTGACTACAATTGATAATTTTATAAAGGAAGGGACAATTCCAACAGAAAGAGGAACATTCTTCAATCTCAAAAAATTGATCAGGTATTGCTTAGTCAGTTCTATTACAGGAATGGAGATATAGAGTATCTGCTTAAACTCAACACAGTTGGAAGTATTTAAACTGTTGTGTTATAGATGAATGACAACAATTGGAAGTATTTAAACTGTTGTGTTATAGATGACTGACAACAGTTGGAAGTATTTAAACTGTTGTTATAGATGAATGACAACAGTTGGAAGTATTTAAACTGTTGTGTTATAGATGAATGACAACAGTTGGAAGTATTTGAACTGTTGTGTTATAGATGAATGACAACAGTTGGAAGTATTTGAACTGTTGTGTTATAGATGAATGACAACAATTGGAAGTATTTAAACTGTTGTGTTATAGATGACTGACAACAGTTGGAAGTATTTAAACTGTTGTGTTATAGATGAATGACAACAATTGGAAGTATTTAAACTGTTGTGTTATAGATGAATGACAACAGTTGGAAGTATTTAAACTGTTGTGTTATAGATGAATGACAACAATTGGAAGTATTTAAACTGTTGTGTTATAGATGAATGACAACAGTTGGAAGTATTTAAACTGTTGTGTTATAGATGAATGACAATAGTTGGAAGTATTTAAACTGTTGGGTTACAGATGACTGACAACAGTTGGAAGTATTTAAACTGTTGTGTTATAGATGAATGACAAT